GTCATTTCCCCCATTTCCTAGGGATTTACTCTCTCTTTGTTTGGACCTCAAGGACCACTAAATTCATAATTTTAAATCCCGTGGACCACTAATACGACTTTTTTTTAAAAAAAGATAAATACTATTTAGTGCAATATAAAAAATGCAAATAATTTTTTTGTGGACCAGCAAAATTTTCTTGTGGACGACCAGTTGGTGACTGCTGGTTTATAGTATAGGATTTATTAAAGTTTTTTCCTTCACCATATACATTTTTTTAAAAAATACAACTGGTTAGGTTCCTTTTTTAAACTTCCATTTGTTATGTAATAGCTTATTATGTAACTGTTTAATTTACATATAATATTGCAAAGTAAGTTTTTAAAAATAAGTATAGGATCTTTGAATATAAAAGAAATTAAAAACATACACGCAGACACAATAAGTCCTAAATAGGCAAATCAGAGTATGAGTTAATATAACATAAAAACTCCATTTTTTTGACTAAGATTCACAGGGTTTTTAGAAGAAAAGGAATGCATGCATAGTATAATTAAATACTCCCAAAATGGCAAACATTTCCAATTACATGGTGATTTCCTTATACCATATAGTACTGTTTAGCTATTTGTTTTTTATTATGCAATCTTTGCATTGATGTTGCAGTTATTGAGTTGTTTGACTTTATAAATTCTGTGTGCAGTGTGAGCAGAACTGAAAGGAGTGGAAGATATGGATCTATTATAGATAGAGAAGATCGAGATGAACGGGACTCCAGAAGCCGTCGTCGGGATTCTGACTATAAAAGATCTAGTGAGGAGCGTAGAAACGACAGATACGATGATTATCGGGATTATGATAGTCGGGATTATGATGGTAGAGATTATGATGGTAGAGATTATGACAGCCCTGAGGTGAGATAGCTGATTACTACATTTTTTTTTATTTTGGTTAAAAAATATGTGGTATTCTTTTGCTAAATTTATCAGTTATATTTTTCCTGGGTGGATTTAACAAGAAAGCAGTGGAAGAAGAAAAAAGCAGTGACAAAACTATCTCCTTGTCAGGTGGACTACACAGATATGTTTCATGTAATCACCAGCAATCACATTTGATTTCAGGGAGTATAGAAAATATAGAAATGAGATTGTCAACATTTTATATTTAAATTAATCATAGAAAATATTTACAGAACAAAGAGTGAAACAATATTTTCCAATTATAATATTAGTCTGTATGAATAATGTTACAATGACACTTAAATCTTTAATTTTTAAAATTCAAGTTAATGGAGTTAATTTTGCATTACTATGGCAACAGTCTTATAAGTGCTGGCTTTATTTGGCAGAGAGAGCGTGAACGTGAGCGACGTAATAGCGATAAATCAGAAGACGGTTATCATTCTGATGGAGACTATGGAGAACATGATTATAGAAATGACATAAATGATGAAAAAGAAAGCAAGACCATCATGTTGCGTGGGCTCCCCATTACTGTTACAGACTATGATGTAAGTAACATTTTACTGTTAACTTAAACATTTTAATTTGCAGAATAATTCCTTCTTAGAGTCTGTACAGCACTGAAAGCGTCTTAATATTGTTTCATATTTCAGAAGTGAGTGAGCAATTATTTAAAGTAGCCTCCATGCCTTCTGTCCAATTGTTTTGCAGTTAGGAAGGATTCTTCTCTCCTTCCCCAAACTGAAGAGTTTCTGATAGCTACTCCTCTGATTGAAAGAAAGTGTTTTGTTGAAATTCTATTATAGACCCCACCCACCCACAATGACTTTCACAGTATTGCTCATTATTTATTTTGGCAGTTGTGAATTTCATAAGAGCATTGCATCATAAATTCTGGAATGTATTTATTAATCTAACCTATATGGTCAAAATCTAAAATCTCTGTTTTGAAATATCTTAGAAATTGATGAACATCATGTGATTTCCCCTCCCCCCTTTCAGTTGTGTCCTGTTTTAAACCGCCCATAGTATTGATGAAGTTTCTCAGAAATCATTTGCATTGCCAGTTTCCTATGACTGGTAAAATTTGATTGGCCCAAATCTCACAATTGATTTCATGCCCAAGGTTGGGACTAGAACTCATGGTCTCATGGCTTCTAGTCTTGTTTTCTTAATTACTATACCAAACTTGGTCAGCTAGAGTGGTTAGGATCTACATAAAAGGATAAGTTTACATAGCTGAAGATTGCCACCTGTAAATTTTGAACAATGACATAACAAATTTTATTTCCTAAGGATTTCTAGATTTTAGGTCTATTCTAAGTTACTTAGAATAATTATAAATTTTGGAGGTCATGTTAATACCAGACTGTTGTTTTCCTTCTTTGTAGTTTGGCTTAGTTTGTGAACATTAATGGTATTAAAATTGCATATAGATACGAGAGATCATTGAATCCTGTGAAGGCCCTCGGCCTGCAGATGTGAGATTGATGAAGAGAAAGACAGGTGAGAATATTAACCTTATTTTTTTGGCACAGCCTTCCTCTTCCCCAGGCCTAAAACATTTTCCAAAATCCCCTTCACCTGCAAGTACAAAACAAAATGAAAGGTTTGCCATGGATAAGGAATTTAGCCTTTTGAAAGGCTATAGGTAGTGGAAGAAGCCTTCATTTTATATATATATTTAAACATGTCGGTAAGTAACACCGTAAATTTGATTCTTAAATCTTAGTAATCCATTGCATGGTTATCTAATTCAAGTAGCCTATTAATGCAGCTTGGTTTCCTTGCCATGGCAAAACAAGAAGCAAATTCAGAGTTGACGTCGCATTTATAAAACTGCTTTGTCATGAAGTAATGAAGCAGTTGGAGAGAGATTCACCTGTTTTAAAGGAACTGACTAACACAAGTATCCCGTCTATATCTGAATGCTGTCTCTAGGTGTAAGCCGTGGTTTCGCCTTCGTGGAGTTTTATCACTTTCAAGATGCTACCAGCTGGATGGAAGCCAATCAGGTTGCTTCACTCACAAAGTCTAGATAATTCCTGAACATGGAACAAGTCTGTACAGTTTTTAAAAAGGAATAAATAAACAACTGAATGAAGGAGTGGTTTGATTTAAAAATCATAACTTCCTTAAAATGAAATGCTTTGTATATATTAAAATTTTTGTTAAAATTTCATACCATTGCCCCAAAATACAGTTGGACCATTTACCTTCTATAAAATGTTTACTATCTCAGTGTTTCAAGTAATTGATCTTTGACTTACTTTTTAAAAACCTATTATGTATTGAACTAGAAAGACTTTTCTGATGTATGCTATCAATAACTATAAAACAATTTATAGATTATATAGAGATAACTGGAAAGATATTTTCAGTACGATTTAATGTTTCTAAAGGCATTGGAGTGCTTTTAAAATGATATAAATAATCTAAAGAAACAAACTATTAAGGAATTAAAATGTATATTTCCAAGATATTGATATATTGGTATTTTAATTCAGTTAATAGCAGAACTACTATTTTTACTGCATTGCTGTCAGCTAGAACTGTGCTTCTATACCAAACTAAAAATTTAAGGAGCAAAACTAGTTGTTTCATTATAAAATCTGAAAAATATTTTAATATGAATTTTACTACTTCTTAAAAATTATTAAATGTTTGAACACTTTCTCTTAAGTTCATATCATGGCCAACAATTAGTTAATTGTTGCATGCAACAAGTGTTCTGTATTTATGCAACATGCAGTTGTGGTCCATGAACCTGGACAAATTAGGGTAACAAATTATGAAATCGCAATTTTAATATATACAAAGCTGTGTCAATTTTCATCTTGAATCCTGTTTCAAATCCACTCCAACATAACCACGCTAGTGTTAGGGAAAAAATAGTTGAGCCTCCCTATTGGCCCTGTTGCTGTTAACTGTCAAACAAACCTGATATATTGTAAATATGGCAACAATTTGTTTGTGTGCATATTCCAGTTTTGGGCCATTTTCTCATTTTCCTAGTGTAGCAATAAAAGATGAAATTTGCACCATAGGCCTGCTCGATCTTTTTAAGCTCTTACTATTTCTATTAGGATTTGACTTACTGAAGTCAACTCTTATTTTAAGATTAGATCATTGTTTCGTCAACATACACAACCCCTGGACACATTTAAAGGTGCATCTCTCTGAAGAGCAGTAAAGGACTTGCAGGATTTAGAGGGGATACAGGTTTTGGATATTCAAGAACAAAATTTAAAATTCAGAAACTTGGCTTCTTTCTATACATTTAAATAGTTTATCCAGTACTCTGCTAAGTATGAAGGGGCACTCAAAGCAAAACAAAACATTACTGTATTGGCAAAAAAAGTCAGTGGCAGTTGAATTTGGTTATTAAATATTAGGATATTGTATCTTTTCTTCCTATTCACATGGTAGCTTTTTCATACAGCATGTTAGCCAGAAAACAGTTATGCTGAACATGTGTTCAGTACCTGACTTAATTTAGCTTCTTAGAAATATAAGGTCATCTTGACAAGAATTATTTTACTTTCAAGGGCACATCATGAAGAAAACAACTGAAAACAATTCATATGTTTTGAAGTTATAAAATTCTAGCCCTGGGGAAACAAGTGAAGCAGTCACTTAATACAGTGTATTAAAGCAGTGTTTCGTTATGTCTTTAAGAATCTCAATCTCCTTAGAGACACTTCCTGGTTCCATGTCAGCACTTAGTTTTGGCAGCTTGATCAACCTTCCCTGATTCTGTTTGCTTTCACTGCACATCCCATTTTCTTACTGCCCATGTCCTGCAGGATTGGATGGGCAGAGTGTAGGAGGCGGTGGTTGGTTCTCTGCATCCTCCCCATATTTGTCCATTTAGTTCATGAGCACTGAATCCTCCGAAGTGTGCTCTACCATGGGAAATTCGACACATGTTCTGTGATACTGGAATAACTAAATGTGCTTTTTTTGCAGAAAAAATTGCTGGTTCAAGGGAAACAAATTGCAATGCATTACAGCAACCCCAGACCTAAATTTGAAGACTGGCTTTGTAACAAGGTATGGAGATGTTTACAAAGGCATTTTTTAACACGCACAAATTTTTACTAACTGCCCATCTCTCAATGTATTTTAACATATTACATTGTAATTAGCCATTTTCATACTATTCACTTCTACTAACGGATAAAATATCTGAACCTCAGATAGTATTAAAAAGCTTAGCATGAAGCAATTTATAACAAGTGCTAAAAAGTAAATAGCATTTAATAAAAACATGTATGTCAATGTGGAAATAGCCATCATGATCATTACTATAGGTGACATGGTATTTTAAAATGAGAACTTCCCATTTAGAGTGAGGATGCTGTTGCTTCTGAATTTGACTTGAAGTATTTTCTTGAACTACATACACACTTAGAGCTTGTCTTCAGCACTCAAAAAGCAAACAATGTACAAGTAATTGGCAATTTGAAAACTGCAGCTGGTCTTAGTATCTATAATGCACATGTATTTGGGAATCTCAGTAACAGAAATGACAAACATAGGACAACTCAAATTACTTTCTCCACAGTGGAGGAAAGAACATAATTTCCATAAATTTGCCTATAGATAGCCCCTAACTTACCAATAATTCGTTCATTAACTAATAGCGCAATGGTGCTAAACAAGTGATATTTCAATTGGCTTTTGAAGGATCAGCCTTTCCAGTGCTCCCACAGTCATGAAATTCAGACACTTGGCATCTGCCTTACACTTTATAGTTTTAGCCTCCTGCAGTCATAGTCATTTTCTGATCTTTTTACAAGCAAAGTTAATGGGAAAGCTGGCAGCAAGAGTTGTAATTTCCTCCTGCCTTCCTACACTAGTGCTTTCCCTTTGGCTTTCCTTGCCACATCAACCATCCCCCTGTCTTTTAACACCCATACCATACCATCCGTATACCAGCCTCCCTGTGCTTGTGCCCTGTCCTGCCATTTATCCTAGGCGTTTCTGCACTTTTCATCTTGTACCATCCATTCCCCCATGTTAGTGAATAGGATTACTGTACATCCCAGATTCATAAGTAGGCAGTAAAAATAAAAAGAAACAGAAGAAACTTTCACTTTCCGATACAGCAAATAAAAGCAATAACTTATATTTTTACAAATTTTACATTCATATATAGAAGGGAAACATCAACCATTCCATTACCCTTCAATTAAAATGAACAATATTGCAACTGAATAACATAATGGTAGAGGAAAAAGAGTTCCTGACCTTTGAACCAGGAATTGAACATTAAAATTAAACAAGTATAAATTTCTGCTTAAATATTAGCTCATACCTAGCTTTCCAAAAAGTCATTATATTAATTTCCATTTATACATAATTTTTATTTTAATACTGAAGGTGTTTCACAGTATTGGATTTAGAAATAAAATAGTTTTGTAACACCATTTCTCATATCTCTGAATGCTTCTTGGACCATGAAGACCTTAAAAATATGCAGAGCTTAAATGTTGAAAATCGTAGCTCCAGGAACTGAAGCATCCCCCCAAATCATAGTTTGATATTAATTTTATTTAGTTACTCTTTCTAGTGTCCTGGATAGGACTGTGGAGTTGAATTAACCATCAAAGTTCGTGGGTGCCAAAGCAAACTCCTAAGTTCCAAATGTGTTATTATTGTAATTGCTTACTGGGGAATAAATGGACATTAATAGTTTTATTCAATAATGACGTGAAGCCAACGTCACGGGATATTTTAAAAACTGTTATAGGTATGGTCTGTCCTACAGAATGTTTGATCAGGTGTATAATCTAAAATGTAATGGATTTGTTTATTTGTTAGTGCTGCCTTTACAACTTCAGGAGGCGACTAAAATGCTTCCGTTGTGGAGCAGATAAATTTGGTAAGTTCTGTTTGAATAAGTTATTAAACATTTTTATTTCACAATTGAACTGCATGTAATTCCATTTCTGACATGGTAGGGGTCTATTGATGTCATAACACAAGGTTCTTGATTATTAAGCTTGTATTTCCACCTGTTTTGCAATGAAGATTCAGAACAGGAAGTGCCACCTGGAGGACCAGAAGCTGTACAGTCTGTGGATTACTACTGTGATAGTAAGTTAATTCTTATTGTATTGGAAAAATAGGTTAGCTTTGAGGTATGTCTTTGTGACATGCAAAAATCAATCCAGATTCTTTTGTTTACACCTCAAATTCACAAGAGGTAAAAAATCAAGTTATAAAGCTGCTGGAGAAATGAGTAACCTGGCAACATATGAGAAATATGACATTTTCCTTTCTATGAAGAGCATTGACGCTTTTTATCCTAATTCTCTCTTTAGCCTGACTTGTTCAGTTAACATCTTTTTTACTTTACTTTTCTTTTTTTATTAGCTTTTATTGTCAAATCTTGGAATACATTTTTTCATTTCTTCCCAGCATAGCTCTTGTTCCTCTTTCAGTCAGCAGCTGCTTCAGATAGTCCTTCCGTATAGCCTTAGTGCTTAATACTGTTTTTTGCAGCATCTTTATTTACCTTAAAGAGAATTACATGTGAATTGTTTTAAAATTTTAATTAAACTGAAATGATTAGCCTTCCCTACTCCTGGTTTGGGAAGTGTGGAATTGTATTAGCATGAATTATAGTAGATAATCTAACATACATAGCTGCATTATATCAATAAATCTCTGGTCTTTTTCAGAATTTCATTAATATAAAAAATGTAGTTTTTCCTTGCTTTACTTATGCATGATAGACTGCTATGTATATCTGTTCTTTGTTATTGTATTGTGGATAAACAAGTGATAACCATATCTTTATGTTCCCACAGCTCTTATTCTGAGAAATATAGCTCCTCATACAGTAGTGGAATCAATCATGACAGCTCTATCACCATATGCTTCACTGGCAGTAAATAATATCCGCCTTATTAAAGACAAACAGACCCAGCAGAACAGAGGCTTTGCTTTTGTACAGTTGTCTTCAGCCATGGTAAGGTATATTGTATTGTATTTCAGTATTGAAATTTGTGTGTATTCAATATTAAATTTTGTATATATTTCCTAACATTCAAGTACAGTTTAGACGTGTGCATTTTTTAATTTGCATAAGTAATAAAATCAAATACCTTCAGATTTATTTTCCTGATAAAAATATGTACATGATTTAATAGGTATAATAATTATCCTGATATGTGTTTTTTTAATGTCAAGCTCTGAATTTATACAAAACCTTGCCTGAATTGAATGAATAAATGCATTGTACTGTGTTTTCTTTCCTTATGAAATTTTGGTAGTTGAATTTTTTTTTCTTATAAATCCTTTTTGACAGTGGTTGTATATAACAATTTAAACTTTGTCTCATACCAACAATTACTTTTCCTAGGATGCTTCTCAGCTGTTGCAGATTTTACAGTGTCTTCAGCCACCTCTGAAAATAGATGGCAAAACAATTGGTGTGGATTTTGCAAAAAGTGCTAGAAAGTGAGTTATACTACTGAAGTTGTGTTTGAAATCTTCAATTACAGTATAATTAGAAAATTACATTGCTGCTTTATTGCTTAATTGTCTTAATAAGATTTACAAAGAAAACCAGTTTTATGTCTTTCTGTGTGTGTACTCATTAAATATACTAGTAGTAGCATTTAAATTCAGCTCAATGTTTGGAGTTAAGCATTTATTTGGATAAGTAATGGAATAAAAAATCTTCAGTTTATTTTCTTATTCTGTATAAAAATCTATTCTGATTTCCAGAAAATAGAGTGGGGAAACTTGTGCAATTAGTTTATCAATAGTTGAGGCACATTGTAATTTTCTTGTAAATTTATTTCAAAGCTCCTCATGATTTCTAGTAATGTTGCCTATGAAATAAACAACCAGCTTTTTTATTTTTCAGGGATTTGCTTCTCCCAGATGGCAATCGTGTCAGTGCTTTCTCTGTTGCTAGCACAGCCATTGCTGCTGCTCAGTGGTCATCAACCCAGGTAGGAATTTGTTTTTAAAGTTGTTGATTCCTGAGTCTACAGTATAGCACCTATGGATTCTTCTCTTGGCCTTGCAGGCCCCATGGGGTCTACTTGGTTGCATTTTAATTTTCAAAAGTTATGTTGTTTTCTTTTCAAAGTGAGAGTTAGCATGCTATAAAACAGTGATAAAATCAAATATAAAATGTCATTCATTCATTCTTCCTATTTCTAAAACTACCCATGTCGCTCAGGGACATATCCATCAGTGCTTTGAATATGAATAGATTTCATTTTAGTGAATAAAATGATAATGGGTTGTAGCTCAGTGCTTGTTTATAAATATGTCAAGGAAAAGGAAATACAAATGAGGTCGCAGCATCCTGAGAAACTGGGTTTTAGAGAGCAGCCTCATCAATTTGCCTTTTAATGGATAAGAGTTGAATGTCTTTAAGGCTTTATGTTGATCATGCTCTCAAAATTAAAAAAAATGTGCCCACCATAAAAACTTAGGAATTTCTATGCTAGTGGAAAGCAAGATTTCAGTATTGATATCAGCATTCATGTGAACACTCTGCTCTATTTACTAATTAATTAATCATTTTCTTTAATTTATAGCCTCAGAGTGGAGAAGGTGGCTCTGTTGACTTCAACTACCTTCAACTTGGTCAGGATGGTTACAACCAGTACGCTCAGGTATGTGTAAATAGTACTAGAAACTAAGATTTGGAAGTTCTTGGGAGGAAAGTATTCTGCACACTTTAAAGGTGCTTTTTCAAGAGGCAACTGGTTCCTGGTTTTTCTTCAAAGACGTTTTGCTTCTCATCCAAGAAGCTTCTTCAACTCTGACTGGATGGTGGGGAAATCAGAGCTGAAGAAGCTTCTTGGATGAGAAGCGAAATGTCTTTGAAGAAAAACCAGGAAGTCCAGTTGCCTCTTGAAAAAGCACCTTTGGGACAATCGTTATCTGGATGACTGAGAATCTCCATAGACATTTGTATGCTTTAAAGTACTTTTAGGAAGATAGGACCATAAACTTCATGACATAGTGAAAATTTGGGCAGGTGTGAGGCAATGTAAATGTACTAACTATTGATACAGAACTAATACAGAAGAAACATATTAACTATTAAAATACATAATGGTGCATTATAACGCCACTAACAAGGACCAGTACAAAGTCAGTGTGAAAAAAATGCAGTGTAAAAGCCAGTCAAAATAAGCTATACTAGATGAACAGCAAAACTAGGCTGAAATGGTAGCAATGTAAAAGATAAGATGATTGTGATGATTGATCATCTTAATGATCTCTTAGCCTGGCCCTGAAATTAATGGGATATTGGTACTTAATGAATTTATGTGGATTTATATGTCCAGAAGGTCACAATTAAAAAGGCCTTTCTGATAGTCATCCAGGGGTAGGATTCAAATTTATTAACAACCAGTTCTGTAGGTGTGGCCTAATTTGTGGGTGTGTCTTGGTGGTCATGTAACTGGGTGGGCATGGATTGTTGACATGGTTTGGTGGTCATGTGACTGGGTGGGTGTGCCTAGGTGTCATGTGACTGGTGGGTCATGTGATGGGTGGGCATGGCTAGATGGCTATGTGACTGGCAAACCAAATATAAGTGGTCCTCACTTAATGTCCAGTTGCTTAGCAATTGTTCTGATTTACAACTGACCTCTCCAGAGCTACTTGACCTGTTTTTGGTGGTTTGACAGCCATGCATGCGCGCGCGCACACACACACACACAACCTGTTACAATATCCCACACAGTCTTGTGACTGGTTTTCTATGGGTTTTTTTGCCAGTTTCCAATAATTCCTTCTGGTTTCTGGGCATTTTTAACCAGAAAATGGACTTGTTTAATAACCACAGTGTTTGTTAATGACCACAAGATTCACTTAATGACCATGGTGTTTGCCTAACCCGGGGTCTGCGATCTTAAACACTTCAAAGTGACATTTTTCTATTTTCTTTTAAACTGGTCTCTTTTTTTCTCTTTCTCATCTCTTTCTTTCTCCCTTTTTCTTTTTCTTTCTCATCTCTGTCTCGTCTCTCTTTCTCTCCCTCCCTCCCTCCTTTCTCTCTCTCTCTCTCTCTCTCTCTCTCTCTCTCTCTCTCTCTCTCTCTCTCTGTGTGTGTGTGTGTGTGTGTGTGTGTGTGTGTGTGTGTGTGTCTTGTTTCTCTCCAGAAATCTGGGCTGAAGCAGAATTAAATCATATCTGCTCCTTTGTTTTCTGAATGGATTTTATAGGAAGGAGGCTCAATTTCACACACACACACCAGCCATTTCCCATTCGATCTCCCTCATTAAGGAAGCATGGAGGACATAGTCAGCAACAGCAAAACTAACTCAATATCTTCCAAATGGAATAGGCGCAGACCCCGGGTGGTGATGGGGAGGAGAGAAAGGGATTCTCCAAACTGGCAGGGCCAGCCAGGGACACAGTTTGCCAGTTCTCCAAACTGGGCAGAATCAGATTCTATAGAACCGGTGGGAACTGGTAGAATCCCACCCCTATAGTCATCCTTTTAACTTCAAAATAAAAGAACGATTGGAGGAAGGGAATTTCTG